TCTATTTGAGATGTTATCAATAATTATATAAACTAGAATTTCATCATATACAAAACAGTTGTTTTAAACTCGTGACTAACTAAACCTATCACTTCAAAAATTCTCAGTATGTAGTATGGATGATATTTACATGCTCAAAAAAAGGTCAGAATTACTTATATGCATTTAAAAATTATTTTGATGTCTGCAGGGTCATCGTATTTGGGTCTGCGAAGGCACCAACACCTCTCTGGTCAGCCATGAAGAGGCGTCGCAGAGGAAATTACTAAGTACCAGTTACATATATGTATGTGGTTTCTGTCTTACTTTTTTCTACTCGTGCAACCCTGTGTAGGTTTAGGCTTCACTGGTAACCACTGAATGAGCTATGGCTGTTACTACCTGCAGCTCGCATCATGGCTGATCAGGCACCATCTGGACAAAACCCGGCCGGTACAGCACCGGCGAACCTACTACTTAAATCTGTCATAAATGATTCTGAATAGTTAGAGCATCACGCTGTTAGCGTCCGGTATACTGGCAGTCACACACGTGCTAGTAATACTGTTTTCATCTCACCAGTCGCAATAAAATAGTATTTATTTGAAGTATTATATTTTATATTGCTACTACTAATAATAAGTAAAACTTAATGCTAAGGCAAGAAATCTGAAGAATTGATACATTACATATTATTTATAATAAGGTTCAAATTAACGTTTAACAGAATGCTACTATGTGTGGACACAGTCGCCTTGGTGCACCCACAGCCCATCCCGTCAGCGACTGATGAAAAAAATAGGATTATGAAAGTCGCAATAGGTCTTTGTAAGACCTCACTGGGCAAAGTTACATCATTAAGATATTATATAAGTTTTATATATGACAGCCTCACCTTATAGTTAATCATCTATTCAATGAAGTATGTATACACAAACTTTAAAAAATATTACTATTACTACTACTACAGACGGTGTTACGTACCATGTTATAATCTCATAAAATAATAAGATTCATCTAGCTAGTACAAAGTGTGACTTTCTATTTCCTGGTTTGCTTGGTCGCGTCCTTAAGTTGTTGATTCTTTGAATACACTAATATAATGTACTACTGTGACTCCTGTCTATTTCCACACATTACATTTCATTTATTACTCCTTTTCTTTGACAGGCAGGATAAAGGAAGTCATTATTTTTCACCGATGTTCCCACACGACAAAAATAATTTCATTATGGAATATCTGTTTATTCAGTAAATATAATGACAATGGCATGTGATTAGGATTGTTATTTTACATTAATTAAATGCCTGGAATCTTACGTTTCTTAAGTAGACAGTAGAAGCGTGCAGAGTTACCCGTATATCCTGGCTTCCTTTCGTTTACGTATCTTTTCTCTCGAACTACGCCAGTAAGTATTGCCAGCTATGTAAGATAACGTTGTCCGTTCATCGTGGTTTACGACAGGAGTAGTAAGGTCCGGGTGAAGTCAGTTTCCCGCTGCTTGAATAATCGGCTTGTTTCTCATCTGTCTCTTAACACTCCGGCTGCCGTCCATTGAAAGTTAATACTCCGGCTGCCGTCCACTGAAAGTTATTACTTTAGGCTGGATTTCCTCAACTCTTTAGTTGGCTAAAGGAATGTTCACTGCACTTGTGTGATTGATCTTGATAATGTTATTATTATTATGTATTATCATTATTATGTATTATTATTATTGATTATATTTTATTATAATTATTGTTGTTATTAATATTATTATTATTTATTTATTGTTATTATTATATATTATTATTTTATTTTATGTTATTATTATTATTTTTATTATTATTATTATTATTATTATTATTATTATTATTATTATTATTATTATTATTATTATTATTATTATTATTATTGCTGAAGCGCTAAATACACTTGGGTCATTCACCGCAAGGCATTTGGAAGACTCGATGCTCTGTTCACTAACAGATACACTGCAGTTTAGCAGGTGGAGCGGTTTTTTCACCTCCAGGAAGGTGGTCTAGAGGCTGTGGAAAATTTCACCACAAATAATAAAGATGATGATGATGATAATAATAATAATAATAATATTAATAATAATAATATTAATAATAATAATAATAATAATAATAATAATAATAATAATAATAATAATAATAAATATTAAATAAATAGTAATAATAATTCCGAGCATGTTATCTGCCTGCTTATTCTGCTACGTTCATGTGCTACGATTAGAGACACGCCTTAAGCCGCCGGCTTATCACCCATGAATTATTGAGATGTTCGCGAAGTGTGACTTCAGGGAGACTCCCTTCATTGTATACCTGTCCTTAGCTTATCTAGGTGCCCCAAGCCAAATATCTGACAACGGCTGACTAATACCTAGGTACCTATTTACTGCTGAGTGAAGAGGGACAGCAGGTGTAAGGAGATCTTTTTCCATATATTTTTGCTGGTTCGCCTATCGAACCAGGAATCTCCCGGTTGTGATCCAACTGGTTTGCGTATAATCGCTCTTGCTGCAAAGTACTTTTATATAATGTCTTCAGACACTTAAGACTGTTTCTTGGGATAATATCTGAATATCAGCTATTTTTGTCGAAATTGATTGAAGTCGCTATCACGTTTAATTCCGCTAAACATATTAAAGCAAATAACAAATGACTAGTTTTCATAATATGTCCTAATCTTCGTCTGGACATTTATCTCGAACCACTGATACTCCTGGACCACTTAATGCTGCTTTTGTAGATGAAAAGGAAAGTCGTATGTATTACATGAGATTCAGGGTTTGAAAACTGAGAATCACTTTGGAATGAATTCGATACTAGTTATATCAGTTAGGTGATATTCCTGGTCACGAGTTTGGTTTCAGAATTACTTCCCGAGTTTCGGAATGTTTCATTCACTCCATTGTAAATTTCGTTTTACATTACCGAGAGTGAAAGAGACTATAAACTGCGTAACTATGTGTCTAGATAACGAGGTGTTGAGTTACCAGAGAGCTTGTGGCCCAAATTGGTGGTCTACCGTATCCCGATAACAATATAGCGGCTTCCGGTTCTAAAGTTTATTATGCGATTTGTATCGTGGTGACTTACATTTTACTGGACATAAGTTTCTTAAGGCAATATTCTCTGATTTTGGAAACAATTCATTCATCTTATTTCATCGTAATTCAGTTTATTCTGTCTTCACAGTTCGGCTAAGGTTATTTGTTGATTTTGCTAACATGTTACGGACATAACTCTTTATGCGATTGTCTTGGCATGAAAAAAAGTTTTACGTCAATTTTTGCAACTCCTATCATGTCTTAAACATTGTACCCAATGAGGGTTTTGAAGAATTACTCATACATGTTGGATGATGTGAAGATATCTCGTATTAATATCGTTGCTTTGGATGAACATTCAAGAGGTATACGCAATTCGGCAAAACTCCAGACTCAATAATCACTATAAACACAATATTCCAGAAGGGTTTTTAAAGAATTAACTATTGACATGTCGGATGCTCATGCTGAGAGCCCCAGACATATGCATTGACGTATTGCAAACAAATCGATCGTTATTAAAATCGTAAAGCTCAGTGGCTCGCAATATGCTGCAGTACAGTGGAAACATTACCAGATAAATAATATTAATAGCCAATATTGCATAATTTTTTTAAAGTATATATTTATTGCAGAGCGGCGTAATATAGGTTCAACAGGCAATTAGCAAAATCAGTAAATTAGCTTTCTAAAAAATTCTTTCGTTTATTTTTCATTAAAATGTAATTTATTTGCAAAAGATCTAGACAATTTATTTCACAATATGGAATTATTATAATTACTAAATATATTTAAATATTTTACATAATTTATATATAAAAACATGAAATATATATATTTTTTATTCAAATTTATTTTGGAAATTATTGCATAAAATTTTCGCTGTCTATAGGCAAAGATGAGAGTTGCTATTTACCCAATCGCAAATTTGCCATATGGACAGCGAATAATTTGTTACTAATATATATTATTACGTTCATATATAATTTATATATCTTCTACTCTGAGCCTATTTTTATTTCTTCCATTCTTCAGTGACGTAGTAACTGAAACTTGTCCTCATTAAACATCATATCGTTGTTAGTAGCCCACCGGAAGACCTGGTTTATATCAACTTGGAGACTTGCTGTGTCTTCTGTGGATGCTACTTTCTTACAGATTTTTGTATCGTCTGTGAAGGAAGATTCAGTGCTATGATTTGCTTCCCTGTTTGTGTCAGTTATGAGAATGAGAAAGAGAAGCGAGGCAAGTAACGTGCAGTGAGGGACAGAACTTTTCACTGTAGCAGCCACTGATTTCTTCTTTAGGTTCTGATTGTTAGGAAGCTAAATATCCATCTGCCCTCCTTCCCAGTTATTCATGTTGCGCTCATTTTTTTGCACAATTACCCATGGTCGCACCTACGAAAGACTTTTGCAAAGTGAGCATAAATATTACATCTACATTTTGCTTGTCTTCCAGTACATCCAAGACCATGTAGAGCAACAAAAACTCTCCCCTTTAATTTCGTAGCGCCGTCTTTTACAATAGTATTGAAACACTCTTGAATTCGCCATATCGGTTTCATTACACCGAGCTTAACGTGGAGATGTGGCTGGAAAATCATCGCTGGATCAACTAATGGAACACACCGGTCACTTTTCGTTCCTGGCTCGTAGTAAATTTTCTTTAGATTTATTGTGATGGTTCGCTGCTGTGATTTCCTTTTGAATGAGCTACATGCGTAACATGAATTGTTTGGGGGATTTTTTACAAGTTCCAGACTTGCTAATGATTGCTTTTATTTTACCAGAAATGATCACAGCAAATGTTCTCAAACAAACAAGAAAAAACATACGACTGACTCCTACCTAACACTAAAGCTAATAAAGATCATCAACCTAATGAATCACAACACTCAAACACGATATTCACAAATAGGCAAGGAAATAAATTGGCAGCCTGGTGAGTACAAACAGGACTTACATCTCTCGACGACAGTCAGACGCACACAGTCGTCCTTCGTCCAGTCTCGACTCATTTACTAGATTCACGAGACCTTCATCCTGATCAAAAAAAAAAAAAAAATATCTCAGAAATGTGCGTGCTTTTGGAAGAATTCGTGAAATAAACAAGTTTGAGTACTTACCCCACAATATTAAATGATGAATTTCGCTATAAATTATTCGAATGATTTTGGTTTCTATGTATTTTCCATAAGTAATCAGTGTTTCACGGTCATTATAGATCGAACAACACAATTAAATATCACCTTATTAAAGGTTACTGATTTTGCTTATAAAAGGTCCAAAAACTCTGATTGTTCTTATCCTGATAGCTATGGTTTAGAAAAACACGTAAGCAAACACTAGGACATATTTATTAGAAAACGTTTCTGTCCTGAGACCTTGATCACTTGTCGGTATTTATTAGCAAGGTTTATACCATCTTGATAACTATACGTTTTAGAGGAAAACTCGAAGACAGTTTTGGAATCAGTGCCAAAAGATCTACATAGCACAACAATTTATCTCTGGAATTTCGTTGTTTACCAGTGAATTACCAGCATCTGAAAGAGAGTACTTAGATCATTTTTACGTTATTTCATACCTCTGAGAGTTTAAACCCTTAAAACACGTGTAACTGTTATTTGAATATATTAAAATGCTTGAATTCCATTACCTGCACTAAGATAGGGAACAACAACATATCAACTCCATCTACAGGTGAAACAACTTTTCACGTCATCTTACCTAATTACACTGAAAGAATCTAAATAAAGAATTATCTTCCACATCTATAAATTAAGTGCCCCCGAACACATACACGGTCTGCAATGAGTACAGTGAATCAAATGGTGTCCGATGGTACTACAATCCACTATACCATCTACTAAACTATTCAGTCTGAACTGTACATCAAGCTTGTAAAGGCTATAGACACATGTATATTAATTATCTCCGATCCCTACTCCTCATGACTTTCTGTAAATATCCAGAAACAGATATACACGAATTACTGACAGGAAAGAGCTGCAAAGGTATTTGAAAAGTAGAAGAGTGCAGATTGAAACTAGCGGATCATAATGAACTGTGTCGTACTGTACAGAGCTTCATTACAGGGTGTGTACAAAGACAGGCTTAGGCACACTAGAGCAAGACAACTTATATTGAAGAATGGGACACTTGTGCAAAATTTGGGAATCTTTATGGAAGAAATGTTTCGAAAGCCGTAGTGGCCTCTCCAGTACAATACAGAGAATAACAGTGAAAGATGATGAGGAGTTAGGGTTATCAGTCCCTCAGCCTGGAGTCGATGTGTTCAGTTCATTAGTCGTAAGAAATGCACAGCATATGTACAAAGAAATTGTTTATATATATGGACTGAACACATCGACTCCAGGCTAAGGAGTCGGTATATATATATATATATTATATATATATATATATATATATATATATATATTATTATATATATATATATATATATATATATATATATATATATATATATATATATTATATATATATATATATAATACGATAAACCTACTGTTATCCCAGAGTTGAAAGGCAATTCAAGTCAAATGAAGCAATCGACATATTTCAAAATTTGCAAAATTAGGAACCTTTGCCAATTTAATTGTTTACACAGATGTGGGTGACACTTGAGTACATGTTGAAAGCCCAAAGTTACGCAGAGCACTGGCGTGCAATTTGACGCTACACGGGAACGTAATACAGTGTCTCTTATTGCGTTCAAATTTAGATAATGGCCATAGCTTGTGTATTATTCCTTGCTATATAAGTGTGTTACTATATGAGTCGCCCAAGTCCTGCCCTCCAGGGTAATCCCAGTAACAGTCTAATATTTTCTTTCCTAGGTCTCACAGCCATCTTCCTCGCCCAGTAAAGACACTCCATAATGAAAATCCTTTTAAGAAGGATATCATATTTCCCCCGTGGCCTTATTACCGTCAGCAGCGGCAGTATTGTGCTGCTCGAGACGGTCGTGATTGGGTTTGAGGGTTCGACAGGAAATGACGTTCCATATCCTACCTATCAATGGAAAAAAGCTGCCAATGCTGCAACATTCTTATTGCAGCAACAAATATTATATTTCAAAAGAAAGAAAACTGCTTTCCTATCTCAGGTTTCAATCAAAAATATGTTATCGCTTCTAGATAATTTTTGGATAATATATTGAAACAATTTTTCTTTTGTATTTGATGAAGAATTAAAGCCATGAGTGTTATTCAGTGCAAGGAGTGATGGAGGCTTCATCCGTTTATTAGATAATTCAATTTTCATCGGAAATTAGTTTCTTTAATACTGATAATGAATTCTTAGTTTTTAATTATCAAAAAAATCTCCCAACTAATCGGCGTGTTTATGAGTTACGGGGACAAAAATATGTAAACCTAACATACATACGTAGCTCATTTGAGGTCATCTGGTAGTATAAGAAAGAAAAATTGTAGATCTGGTGAAACAGAATGGAAAATGCGTTGGGGAAAGAGATGTACGAGAACACAGTGGCTTCCTTTGAGACAAAACATACAAGTACTTGAGTACTGATAAAGATCAATATTCCTAGGATGGCGCCGTGTGTTGCCATGGTTACTGAGGAGAGGCGAGATATGTACATAGGCGTAGAGCAGCAACCTATCCTCTTAATACAGCGTTAATTATGCGTTATTTTAGGTTTTGAATTGCTCCTTGATATAAAGTTGATACGTTGGTCAAAGAAAATACCCCGAGGGAAATGTAAGGTATAATATGTGGAGTATAATATGTAAAGTATAATATGTAGAGTGAATTAAATGATATAACTGAATGTTTTAAGAATGCAGTTAGAAACCGGAATAGATCTATCACTCGCTATGATAACATGAACGGAGATAATAACATTTATGAAGCAATTTGCAATGTGAACACACTGACTGATGTTGCGGTCAGGTTTGCACTTGGTTACGAGTACCTCTTACAGTGTGGCAGACTCAGTGATGATCAGACTAAATGCCAAGCATGTGGTCAGGCTTGTGCTCACTTTCTTGAACACTAATGTGCTTAATTGTCCACTTATTGAAGAATATGGAGATAGTATAATCCCCTATATGATATGTCAAGTTAGCTTATAAATGATAATAAGATACAAGTTATATTAAGCAAACATCCTAAATTGATTGCAACAGATAAAGTCAATTGCAGACATAAATCCATATGTACTCCTGTTAACCCTTTATGGACGCCATTTGTGCGTCCATATCCTCTTGCAATATCGTCCACAGGATGGATACAGGGTGTACAATAAACTAGCCGCATTCACCATAAAATCTAAATTAAATGCTTGTTAGGCCATAACATCGATAACAAGAATGAAGAAGTGAAAGATTGTTGGTCGATGTCATATCTATTTTTAAATTAATGTAATGACTGAGTCTCCATATCCTCTCTTCCTTTCCTTGGCATTCCAGTTGCTCACCCATATGAGAATGAAACAATATTTTCCTATGTATTTCTGACTACTGTATGATTGTGTTATCATTGAGTGGTATTTCCTGATATCAATGCGACTCATCTATATCTCCAGCATCCACGTGCTTTCCCTTCTTTCTGTTCCTCTCATGTCATACATTCTCCTTATCTACACAGTCTGCGTCTCTGAGTATCTTGTACGTCGTTGTCATAAGTTTTATTACACAGAGATGCTACTGTAAACTTATTCAAACATGTATAATTTTGTAAATACTCTGTATTAACTTACACTGTACAGATCATTTAGTCAAATTTAATAAAAGAAAATAAAAAATAATCAACGAGCACATTCAAACGCAAACTCAACAAGTATAAGGTATACATGACTCTAGGACACTCTGCTGTGCCACACTAAGGCACAAATGCATAAATAAGGAGGAACCATTAAAGTGAGAGCCAGAAACACTCTGATTACCTTGAAGGTTACAATGAGTCACTTGCCCCAGCTGCTGTTAAGTCTTCCAGCTGACACAAATCCAGGCTTCCTGCACCTGGACTACTGGCCTTTGAATATTAACATTATTCGTCTTCGTATGTTTCTTATTTCTTGTTTTTTTTTTATTTAAAATTATATTAATTTAAGATTAAAATATGTCATCTTAACCTTTGTTATTTCAGTGGCACGAGGCTCAGGTGCTTAAGTTTAACTCCTCATAACTTATTTCTCTTAGCTCCGCGATTAGTCTCAGTGCAGATCTCTGACTTTCTTGAGTTTATTTACATGTCTGAGATGTAAGCTTCACCGTGGTATTGCTTATAAAGTAAATGGCCTGAAATATACCATGTATGGTTTCCTGAGTGACTCTTTTCTAGGTCCTCAAAGATGGGGTTTGTCTTTCGGAAGAGACAGTTAGTATGAGATTCACCTGGCTGGAATAATTCACCAAAAACTCGCACTTAGGAGAGGAACTTTATTTGCAATAGTAATAGTAGTGGCAATACATGAGAGCAAAAGATCAGAGGAGCACTGCAGGAGCACTGTTGGCAAGACTAGCGACACAGTAACGAGAGTGAGTTACATTTCAAGGTAGTGGAGATTGCAGTGTCTCAACCTGTCCCCGAGGGGACAGGGATGAACTTCAATAGGCCAGCTGGCCCAAGCTAGGAAAGAAAAGGAAGCAAGAAAGAGGAAAGTCAGAAGACAGGAAAAGTAAAAAGAGGCTGAAGGAAGGTCAAGAGGAAAGGCAAGGCCGAAGGCAGGTAAAGAGGAAAGGAGAGAAGAAGGCAAAGATCAGGTCAAGGCACGATGTTTTGAAGATTAAGATATTTGACAAAGTACTGAGAAAGCATGCATCTGCAGAAGCACACTTAAAAAGTAATAAGAACACTGGTTATAATCGTAACCAATTTTTAAACGGATAGACTGGTAAGCCAGCTAAAAGTCTCGGTCAGATGACCAAAAGCTCCAGTTGCTGGTCATCACATGACTAAGACCCGCGTCAGGAAACACATGTCTTGTTTCCTGACTAGCCTTAACTAACCTAACCTAACT